TCGTCACCGACTTCGTTTTTGTCTAATAATCATTTTGTTACCTATTTGATAGTGAAAAACTCCCTAAAAAATATAACGTTTTACGGCCAGCAACGCGATGACGTTACGATTATTTCGACGAAATTTCTTTACCGTTTCGGATGAATAGGCGTTTTAAATAATTTGATTCGAGCGTCACTGATGAGTCTTTTGTATGCGAAATTCGCGTCTTGCGTACAAAATAGAAATCCTGGAATCTATGATGAGTTTATTCACAAGTATCTGGAACTATCATCATAGTGTTAACTGGCATCATAATATTTGAAAAGGCGGACTCATAAAAAACAGAAGAGCATCAAACAAAAAAATCAATCCTTCCAGAAGGAGATAAATGACAGCTTTAGTATTAGTAAACATTTTATAAATTGACAATTGAGAATGAGATAAATAATGAATTAGTTTTTGAAAATATATGCTCAGAGTTGAGACTGATGTAGAACGAAGAACGAATGATGTTTAGCTATGGTGAAATGTGCAAACATAAATATGTTTCCATTATTCTTCATGTTCTTCCGTAATAAAGCGTTGAAAACCACTTAGTGTGCATAAGTAACAACAGAAAATTTTAAAGCAATCGAATTTGTCGTGTGAGCAGAATTCATTTACTTTTTTCTTCAAATAATTATTAAAGACATGAATTTAAATAAGATCTGAATAATTTTAAACATTCAACGAATTTATCACAGAAGAGTGTTCGCTGAAAGAGACAATTTAAACATACAAAATATAGAATATAGTATTAAACACATGACATTTATACAGTGTTATAGTCTGCAGATGTTAACATTTATTTTGGAATGCTCACATACAGTTGTAATATATAACATAGACTTTAAAGTTATACTTTGAATTAAATCTTAAAGTTCTGCATATTTTCTATTCTCTATATTTCTCGTTCTTGATATTCTCGATTAGTATCAATCTTCCATCTGCGTCAAGCTGAAGAGCTGGAGCTCGTAGATAAATATTTGCCAAACACTGTTTCCACAGACGATCTGGAAGAACGCATAAAATGAATAAAATTATAATGATTGCCGTCATATGTAAATTTCGTAAATACAGTTTTTTTCCGTGTTTTCTTTCGAACTGTTTATCACGCTTACCCGAGATAGCTTTAAAAAAAATATCATTTAAAGTGACTTACTTCTGTTGTAATTAGACTGCATAAACTTCTTATTTCCATATGAGTCGCAGTTCCTTCAGACTCTTGTCAAAAACAAGAAAATCAAAGAAGCCAAATCATATAATTTCTATTTTAGACTTATACCTCGAATTTGACATAATTGGTCATTTCAGTGCCAGAATCTATGCCAAATGAGACGATTTTAATTTCCCCACCTTAGCAGCAATATACAAACTTCACCTGCATATTGGATATACATTTTCAAATTCTTTCGGTATTCAAGAGCTTGCAGCGGCTACTCAGACGTCACTAGTGTCTAAGCAGAAAGTTGACCAGTCAGGGTTATTTCAAAGAACGTCTCGTCCTTTTTCTAAATAAAAAAGTTCATTGGTAGAGACCGAGACATTGTTAATAAATACTCCGTATCAACTTCACACATAATACATGATGGTCTTGTTTATCATCTTAATAACGTGTTATAGTGTTCCTTTTATTATGTCTTTCCACTTTTCTGTGGAATGACCTATTGTATTTGTGATTAAGTCTTTCCACTTTACTGTGGAAAGACCGATTGATTTCGTTTTGATTATTTTTTTTTTCCTTCCGCCACTTTTATTTCTTGCATGTAATTTTTGTTTCGCAAGATGATGCATTGATGTTTGGTATATGATATCGCACAGTCTATGATTTTTTGAAAATGACCCTGCTTAACCGAATACTTATTCCTTCAATATGGTATATGAAAAAGCCATAGAGTTTTTTGCAAAAATATTGGTTGACATATATATGCATATGACCTTAAAATATATTAACCTGAAGGGACCTTGAGTAAACAGGAAGTACCAATTTTTGCACTTTTTTCAAGTTATAGTACCTTAAAACTATATATTTTTATACGCATATATAAAACTATAATTATAGCCCGAAAGTGACCTTCTGTAAACCGGAAGTAGCTTACAGTATCTCTATTTTAAACAAAAGTATAAAGAAATCATATATTTTTAGAATCAGAAAGAATAAAGCTATCATTTTCTTAACCGAAAGTAGCAAATTATATCAATTATTTCATGCAAAACTATATAGAAACCATTTTTATACGCCCGTTTACGGGACGTATTATGGTATACCTCTGTCCGTCTGTCCGTCCGTCCGTCCGTCGTCAACATGTCGGACATTAACTCAAAAACGCTTTAACCAATTTACATAAAACTTTGGTAAATTGTTATTATCTATTGACGTGAGCTCCCTTTCGTTTTTTATAAATTTTGGATTTTATGTTTCCGAGTTATGGGGTTTTATTCATTAAAAAAAGGGGGATTTTCCAGTTTTCGGACAATAACTCAAGAATGCTTTCACCAACTTGAAAGAAATTCTGGTGAATTGTTTATATCTATTGACATGAGCTCCTTTTCGATTTTTATATATTTTAGATTTTACGTTTCCGAGTTACAGGGATTTATTCATAAAAAAAGGGGGATTTTCCAGTATTCGGACAAAAATTCAAAAATGCTTTCAGCAGTTTTTTATGAAACTTTGGTGAATTGTTTATATCTATTGATGTAAGCTCCATTTAGAATTTTATAAGTTTTGCATTTTACATTTCTGAGTTATGGGGTTTTATTCATTAAAAAAGGGGGGATTTTCCAGTTTTCGGACAATAACTCAAAAATGCTGTCAGCAATTCGCATGAAACTTTAGTGAATTATTTATATTTATTGATGTAAGCTCCCTTTACATTTTCATAAATTTCTAATATGACATTGAGAATTAATTGAACTTTAATTGTTTATAGTCTGACAACAGATTTACTAAGTATTGCGCAACAGAACAGTGTATTGCACAATTTAACAGCAAGAAATCTTTAATTGAATATAATTATATATATATTCATATAACCAATTTCAAGTTCTTTGACTACATTTATTCAGAAACCTATAATATGTCAAATATTTAATACATTCCAAATTCAGACCTGTATCAAGCTTGAATATTGTGTCCATTTTTGCCCCAACTGTTCAGGGTTGGACCTCTGCGGAGCGTATCCAGCTGCGCTCAGCGAAGCAGTTTATTTAATCAGTGTGAATAAAGCAATCATAAGAAACTGGAAGTGACATTTTCTAGACCGGAAGTAGCAAATATCTCCCGTATTTCAGACAAAAATATATACAAGCCTTAATTCCTTTGAACGAATATGAAAAACCCGATGATTGGGCGCCAATAGCAGCGTTGAGTATACCGGAGGTAGCTTCAGTTCAATTTTTTAAGATATTTTGTGTGGAAAGACCTTCAGTTGTTCTCTGATTTGGTTTTTAATTTGTCTTTGTATATTTTGAACCTTTACTGTTTAAGTCCATTTTTGGAAATATACTTTTGGCGTGGCTCATTATCTATTATTGTGCTATGGGGATTTTTGTTTTTCCATTTTGCGTATGTACTTTTTCTATGGCGTGTCTATATGCCATTTTGTGTTTCTTTGTTGAAATGGTTATTCGTTTTTAAAGTGTTGACTGCTCAGTGCTGTACCTTAATTTTTGATATCCTCGGCAAACAATCAGATCCGTTTTGGTCATAAAATATAAGAATAAGAATTTAGCATAATTGACAATGAGACAACTATCTAACGAAATCTAGATAACGTACATGTCATCAACATTGAGTCACCATACGGTTTTCAACAGTGAACAATACCCATACCGTAAAATAAGTTATACACTAATGGAGCAGAAAATGGGGGTTTGTGGATGTGCGGGAGTTTGTTTTGCTCTTGTTTATTATTTTCTGTACTACTCGTGGACAGGTCTATGTATTGTCGGGGATTGTTTGCCATCTTTGTCAATGTTATCAAAGGGAAAATATGCAGACTACGCACATATCACGTTCATAATAAATTTATTATATATACATACACTCTGTGTTTTCGTTATATGTATTTCTGTTTGTATCCATTTGATGAGTTAAGGTTTTTTCAACTGATTTTTATAGTTTGTTCTTATTGTGTACTTATACACCACTGTCCCAGGTTAGAATAGGGTTGGGCGCCCGCTCACACGTTTAACCCCGACTCATTCTGTATGTGCATGTCCCAAGTCAGGAGCCTGTAATTCAGTGGTTGTCGTTTGTTTCTGTGTATCATATTTGTTTTTCGTTCAATTATTATGTGCATAAATTAGGCCGTTAGTTTTTCTCGGTTGAATTGTTTTACATTAATCATTTCGGGGCCTTTTATAGCTTACTATGTGGTATGCGTTTTGCTCATTGTTGAAGGCCGTATAGTTGTTAATTTCTGTGTCATTTGGTCTCTTGTGGAGAGTTGTCTCATTGGCAATTATACCACATCTTCTTATTTTTATATTAGTCTTATCATTCACTATAGCATTAACTGATCTTCAGTAGGAAGAACTCTAAATGTTTTTACATATCATTTTAATCTTTAGGTCACTTCTGAGATATGATGTGTAGTGTTTTGACGATTGTAAGGTAAAAGTTGTGTTATAATGTTGCTGTCGAGTTTATGTTCTGAGACGTCAGATGAAACAACATTATTAAACATAAGGATTGACGTTAGTATCGCACTCATAATACATTTTGTAATTGACAATGGAACATAGAACATAGTTTATGACTGTCTCCCATTTGACTGAAATAAATTTAAAATACCGTAAAACTTAAATTATGTTCCATCGTTAAATAAAACTGCATTATAGTTACGTCTGTTGTCTGATAGGTATGATATTTAGGTAAAAATAACTCACTTCGCTTGAAATGCATTCACAGACTGACTAATGCATTTTATTAATTTTGCTATGTCTTTAACTTACTGCACATTTATATATTTTAGAACAGTACATACAAACTCAGGAATATCATAAGAAGAAAAAGATGGAGTCGTTATATACTGCGATTGACTTGGCACAGGAACAATATAAAAACGAGTTAGCGCTTTTTCAACAAGCTACTATTGAAAAAGGAACAGCAAATGGAATTACAATAGACGCCTTAACGGATCAAATGTACGCTGCTTCAGAAAATGAAGACATGGATTTATATGAATCTCTTTCTGGGGAATTCAACGCATTTATTGAAAATATGAAAAGAGAATCGCAAGACGCCTCAGATATGGCGATGCAAAGATCCCAACAACATGAAACTCATATGTCAAACTTAAATCGTGAACTTCGAGCGACAATGTTAGACCAACCAGTTTTATCAGACGATTACATAGCGTTGAAAACAACGAACAGACCCAAGGGTAACTATATATGAAATAGTTATGTATCATATGTATATGCTTTTATATCAATAATTCATATGAAAAGATTTAGAAAGAATCAGACAAGGTGGTGAATGGTGAATGTTTTCCCATAAGTCAGATATAGTCTCCCTAATTGTAAATCTGATTAAAATCAGATCATTCAATTAGCTGCATCCCATAATGAGTCATGTTTGTATTATCTTGAAAGCATGTTTGTAATCAACCAATCAATAAAGTGACTCGTTGGCACTAAGATTATAATTATCTTACATGATTGACAATTGCAATCAAAGTTTTACATTAATATCAATATTTTTTTTTTGGTTTTATCGACTAGTTATTTATGATTTGAAAAGAAATGAAAAATAAAACTGTACTGATTTTATATTTTTAGAAATGTTTATAGTTAGGTCAGTTCTAAAATCGGAACTATTTCAAGAAATAAAATAGTTATACCAAATGGATATTTCGGAACTAAATGTTTAACTGACATCAAAGTTCATATTAGATGGATTTGGTTATTACTCTTATGTTCTTTTCGGCCACAACTTTTTTCGGTTCTTATACATCCATGCCTTTTAAATATTCAGCTTTGACCATTCCTGGTGAAAGTAAATCCAGAAAAGCGCTTCAAACTCATGAAATTTATAAAATGTTATTTTCATTTTTAAAATCAGATTTCCAAATGCTGGGTTCTCTATGTAGTTTTGGAAAAGTGAATGCGCTGAAATATCCTTCTCTTCATCACACACATGGACTAGATCAATATCATGCCATAAGTCTTATCTTTTTTTAATACAATGTAAGCAAGGACATTTTTTAAAACATATTCATGTTGTCGTTATTTTTATGACTTTTTGAACTAAAAGTGAAGTGAAGTATAAAACAATAATATTGTATCCAAACGAAACAAATGCAAAATACATCTAGACGACAACTTAACATATTACGAAAAACCAATGTCAATGTTTATGGAAGAATGATAACATTCTATTCAATCTTATCATTATAATTAATTGAAGAAATGGTAACTTTGCTCTCTACATTCCGTGTTTTATTGGTACACTAGTGATTGTTCAGTTTATACTGTACTTTACATTGTGTTATTTAAATAAGACAATAGTGTATTTATTAATGCATTATCATTTTGTTATTGTTCAAAAATGAGACGGGTTACTCCTAGAGACAATGATTTTTCCCTTATTTTCTTACACTCTTTGAAATTCAAATAATGTTGATGGACCTGAACGTTTTGTGTTTATGGCTTTCCAATCAGTCGTATAGAGAGTACCTGATTGTGAAAAGACGTCTCGTTTACGATGTTGTTACATGTGTTGAATTAATAACCTTAGCTGTATCGGGCAAAACCATTGGGAATTTTTAGTCCTCAATGCTCTTAAACTTCGTATTTTGTTTGGCATTTTTTTATTTTTTCGGTTCAAGCGTCACAGATGGGTCTTTTGACGAAACGCATGTCTTTCATACTGAAATTTGATCCTGGTTTACATGATGAGTGTGTTTTATGACTGTAATTAATGCTTCTTACCTGTCAATGCCATCTATATCATGATTAATATATCTGCAAATAATATGTAAAGAAACTATGATACTGCTGGCAGTGCAAACAAACTCATCATGGATACCAGAATCGAAATTCTTCTTTATATTTATAAATTTATTAGCCTGAAACAGAAATAGATTTCCTTATAGTCTATTTGTTGAAGAAGTGTAAGATCTTTTCTGACCTTTTTTCATTATTTCATATTCGCCGTCTTTTGCCCATTGAAATTTTGCTTGAAAAGAAACGAATATGGTTTTTAAAAAAAATTGGCACCATCGATCGTTGGTGTTTATATATCTGAACGTGTTCGATTCGCTTGTGTAGGTAATAACGTTTTTGATTTTTCACGAAAGAAACCTGTTATACTGAAAAATTATTACTACAGGAATTTCGATATCAAAAACATGTCAATACATCATTCGTAAATAAATCAGCGTACATACATATTACGTGTCTTATACGTTCGGGTATTTGACATTCCATTTTTTATTGTTATATACTATACAAAGCACAAAATGTCTAAATTCACATCAAAAGCTAACCAAACCTCTAAACTTATTATTTTGCCGTTGATAAGTCACTAGAGATTGAAATTTTTGGAATTAACATAAATTCACTCGTAGGGTCTTTGCATCAGAAATAAACACATTTATTCTAAAACTAGTTGTTGGCATGATACTTGCTATTTCTTCCCATTAGATTTAAGATGGCTTGATACTATATCCCTAACGGGAGGGATTGTGGTTGATTTTCATATGATGAAGACATAATCATTATAACAGTTTAATTGAGGTCTGGAGTTCGCACGTCAGTAACTGCAAGTAGTCCTTTGTTAATTCATGTTGATGAGTGTAATTTTACTTAGTTTTATTCTGTTACCTATTCTAAGATAGGACGTGAACTTCCTTAAACTAAGTTTTACCGTACATATCACTATATTGTTTATTTTACATTCATTAGGGGTTTCGGGGATGGTTAAGATCTCACAAAACATGTTTAACCCCGCTGCCTTTTTGGGCCTGTCCCAGATCAGGAAGCCAGCCTCCGGGTTCGGAATTGTCTCACTGTATTTACGGTCCGTTATTGGCCTTGGGCTGTTTCCTGCTTTTCGTTCAGGTTGTTGTCTCTTCGACACATTTTCCGTTTTCATTCTTTAATCTATTTAACAGAGATAACAAAAATATTTGTGGGCGAGGAGTGGTGCATCTATTATTTTTTTTAGAAACCCGTCATAAATTTCGCCTCGTTATTCCAATTATCAGGTTGAAACGAAATTCGCCTACATTTAAGATGTCACAAATACATCATCAATGACGCAGTAGGTGAAATTTAACATATGGATTAATCAAATTTATAAAACATCATCCCGGCTAATTTTTTTTCAGACTTTTTTTGGCACCAAAATTATGAGTTGTGAACTAATTGCTTTCCGCGGGTGTGTCGTTGTATTACTATATAGAATTGTATAGATCCCTTTCCAAAATTTCGCGAAGAAATGAGATGTTTTGTACAATTATAGTCTTGATTATATCCTGGTAGTGTTCCATGTTTGGCAATGGTTGTGGCTATTTCTTCGATTGTTTTGTTTTTTATTTAACTGTTGTCATTGCCCTTTGCGACATATGTAGCTGAGCGTGTATCAAAATTAAATTTAGCCTACATGCCGTCTTTATTTGTATAGTATGTCTTTCAGCTGGCTTATAAAAGAACCACATTTGAAAGGTTCAAAACGCATTCCACTGTTAAACATAATTTTCACCAAAACGGTCATTTGTATTTATTATCTTTTCAGGTGTAAACAACGATGAAGTATAAACTGTGTATCCAGAAAAGAGATTTTGTTTTGCAAATATGGAGATGTATTTAGTTTTTGTCAAAGGAAACATACTGTATGATTTTAGATGATGCTATTTTCAATGATGATATTGATTTCCAATTGGTAACATTACAGTTTTCAAACCATTAAAACATTTCTCTCACCTCATACTCCATACTTCTAATGTGTGCGTTTTAACCACTTGGCACATACTGAATAGTTATCTTTGAAATCATTCCCAAAGTTTGTGAGCGTTACATTTTTTATTTGAAGCTCAAAGAAAGTTGATGTTACTGCCGTTACAAGAAACAACTTTGGCAAATGGTAATTTATATCCTATCGCTATGCGAATTTGTAAGATAATTATTGTTTATGTTACGTGTAAATGCTACATGTTTACCGTTTTGTTTATATCGAATCATTATATTAACAAATAATAACATTCACGGTACTAATTTTACTGCACCAGATGCGTATTTTGCAATAAATATTCTTCAATAATGCTAGAGACCAAACTATTTGAAAATCAAAATCTTTGAAAATTGACGACCTTATAAACCAAAACAAAAAGTAGACCTAAAAAGCAAGGATTCGGAGCCTTGCATGTGGGAGATATATTCCTTAATTTAAAAATATTTTTATAAACTTTGCAATTGTTAATTTTCATGTTTAAAACAGATTGAATGTCAATTATAATTAATGTAGCAGTAGCTGTAAAAGTTTTTTCAAGAATGGCACGTTTTTGGGTATGGGCGTTAAAGAAGTTTTGAACCTTTCTGAATGAGAAAGATAAACTGTATATAGCATAATTTCGATACCCAGCTTTTATGGTCCTGTTATAAATAAAGGCAACAGTAGTATACCGCTGTTCAAAAGTCATGGAACAAATATTTGAGATAATTGTATAACTCCTTACATATAATTACAACATTAAGGAAGTTTTCGATTTTACATTTTCCTTTAAGAACGGCTATTTCCCATTGATTTCTAGTCAAACTATATGCAATCTTTCATCTCGTATGTTTTAAGATGACGGAAGAACTAATTCAAATGAAACAGATAAATCTCTTTCCGACATTTACAGAAAGTTTTCTACATATCCATTAGATGTAATCCCTATTTCTATTCAAAATTAATCTTCGTCTGTTATCATAGATATGCACATTGAAAATATCAATCACTTTATTGTCAATTGATTATAGTTTACTTTTAAAATAGTCGCAGCTACAACACTTCTCAATACCAAATAATAATAGTCTAAATATTCGGCTCTTCATTATTATTATGCATGCAGTTTCAAAGACATATTTAATAAATGAATGCATAACCTGCTCTAATTATATTTTGTAAATTCAGAAATTTTTTAATTTAATAAAGTACCTTTGAAATTTATTTTTTTTATTCTTTCTTACGAAAAAGTTGTTTTTTAGTTAGGGGAAATGTCAAATTGAAATAAGCAAAAAATTATACAAGGAAATGTATATAAAGAAACAAAGGTTAATGGGTTGTCTTTTGTATAATAATTATTCTTATAAAAAGATGATAGATAATTTTTTTCTTATGTGAAATTTAAATGTCATTAATAGATATGATTATGATTGATGAAATAATTTCCAATAGCAAGAAACCTATTGTTGGCTTAATGAATGTTTGTATAATACATTTCTTTATTTTTCATTTTTTCCCCCAAAACTAACATTATCGGCGTAAAAAAAGTACGGGCCAGATGATTTACAAAGGCAATTATTATAGTTCAATTGTTAACTGTCTTCTCAATTTGAAAATCCGATTATTCTACTGGACTATAAGGATGCTTGAAAAATAGTATCCATATTACATACCAATATTTGACATAACTAGTAACATGTGCCATAGTCCAGTGGCATCTTCCGGGGTACTTGATATCAACATCGGCTTTTGAAGGGTTCACGTTGCTCCGTCTTTAGTTTTACTATGTGTTTTGTATACTGTTGTTTGTCTTTTTATCATTTACATTTTTACCATTGCTCGACTTATGACTTTAGATGTCACTTTTGTATTTTCGCTTCTTTTTTTGCAATTTGTTAATTTATTAAATGTCCTTGTCCATCATCGAAAGTTGTCAATATGTCTTCCACAATTTAGGTACTGTAGCCTTCACTGTAAATCAACTAAATTTCTTGGTCGATTTATTTTCGCGGCCTTCGCAATAAGCAGAACAAAGCAAATATAACACATTTGAAGATGTTAACATTCCTTCATCAAAAAGCATCAACATAGTTTAAACTCGCATAAATTAATCATCGCGATGGTGACTAGAATATGATACGTTATAGGCAACATTAGTTTACCGATGTTCATGTTCATATACACATTAAGAACATCCAAATTGAATGCAAGGTTAATACAAATTTGATTGGGAAATGGACGATAGTGGGTAGGTCGACATGCTTCCCCCGCCTTATGAATTCACATGCAGTCAAAATGCTACAGTAGAGAATAAGACACTGCTGTAAACTTAAAGACCAGACTAATTATTCCAGTATCTAAAGATCAAAGATTGCGGACACATATCGCTACTGAGTTGAGATAGTAACTTGAAAAAAGTATCCGCGTACTTAGTAATTCTGGTAGTTAATGAATTCTAAGCAGAATACAAAATATAACTTTATTTATTTGAACAAACAACGCAGTATAACTCAAGTTTGTCATGATAAGGTGGGCAAGGAAGTGAACCACATTTGGCACCAACGACATAAAGGAGATGGCCGTTGTCGTCGCACGTTCCACTATGAGTTCAAATGACGTAGATATAAGCAATTGAAGGTCATCGTATTACCTTCAACAATGAGAAAAACAGATACCGCGTTGTTAACTATAAATGGCCCCGACATGAAAAATGTGAAATATCAATACAAATTCCGAATAACCAAAAAGATAGATACATTATAAGAACCAACGACAACCTCTAAAATTTACGAAGGGATTATTTCAACTTCATCACTTGGAACTCTTGGTTTAATAGCTTCCTTGTGAGCAGAAACCCTCTATCAAGGAAATCATGATAGGAAATACTAGCCCTGGAATATCGTATCAACTGGGAGATATATACTTTGTATGCACGCACTGCTGGAATGTTGCTACATAGAAATGGAAAGTTCACAATTGTGAAGTTGAAATCATCCATCCCTTTTGTCGTAAAGTTTTGTTTTGAACCGACCCTCATTGTCAATTTCTAGATGTAAGTCAAGATATGAGGCAGACTTAACTGTATCTGTTGTATCCTTTATCTCAAGTTCCATGAAATAGATACGTTCAACATAGTCACCAATTTCTAATTATTTAGTGAGAGAACATCATCTATATAGCGGAAAGTAAAGTTAAAGGATACTGCTAAATTGTTTTCTTTCTTCCTAAGAAGTTCCTGTATGAAGTCAGCCTCATATGAATAAAGGAATAAGTCGAAGAGGAGCACAGTTGTTAGTTCCCATGGGAATGCCGATTGTTTGTGGAAGTAAAACAACACAACTGATATTACTAGAGGAATAAAAATATGCAAAATAACCAAACATCGTGTTCGAGATATTAGCAACACTGAATGAATTTAAATTTTTTTTAATTTCTACTTGTTAATTATTATTACTAAAAACAGTTGCATTTATTAATCTCTTTCTTTTTAAAAAATAATAGATGCGGTGCATAAGCCATCATTTGAAGTATCTAATTTGAGCGTTCCTGGTGCAGGTGGATCCTGAGGTACGATTCGGACGCAAGAAGTTTTAACAGTGTTGTTTCCATTATATATAATATATACAAGTCTAAATCGAAAACAACGTTCAATCCTATGATTGCGTTGGATAAAAACCGCAATTTTTATACGTGTGCATGCAAAACAAATTTCTTGGTAGAGGGGTCTAAACAAAACAAACAACATTTTCCAAAGGACCAAAAAAGTGAAAAAGTATATTTTAACAAAACGCATTTGACTAACAGGTCGAACAACAAATGTTCTTAAACCCTGCTGACTGCCATTGGCGATTGCCAAATAAACGGATCACAAGATGTAACAAAATAGATCTTATTATTAATTTATACCAAACAGAAAACAATAAACTTGCGGAAAAGATGGTATACCGCAAACAAAAGGTGCAAAAAAATTTTGTACACCATATCCGGATTTCGACACTTATTGTCTCTTCAGTGATGTTTGGAATCGAAACGGTATTTGGAAGGCCATATTATTTACCTCAATTTAGGATAGACTCTTGAATTTTGAAGAGTCGAAATAGGATGAACGGATCATATAAACCCGAAGGCAAATATAATACAAGCCCAAACGATAAAATATAAACAAGTCTAAATTGAAAACAACGTTCAATCCTATGATTGCGTTGGATAAAAACCGCAATTTTTATACGTGTGCATGCAAAACAAATTTCTTGGTAGAGGGGTCTAAATACAGCACAAACAACATTTTCCAAAAGACCAAAAAATCGAAAAAGTATATTTTAACAAAACGCATTTGACTAATAGGTCGAACAACAAATGTTCTTAAACCCTGCTGACTGCCATTGGCGATTGCCAAATAAACGGATCACAAGATGTAACAAATGGATCTTTATAATTATTTAATACCAAACAGAAAACAATAAACTTGCGTAAAAGATGGTGTGTTCGTTTGGGCTTGTATTAAATTTGCCTTCGGGTTTATATTTTTTCTTTTGGGCTTGTATTATATATGCCTTCGGGTTTATATTTTTTTCGTTTGGGCTTGTATTATATTTGCCTTTGGGTTTATATTTTTTCGTTTGGGCGGAAAAGATGGTATATCGCAAACATGAGGTGCAAAAATTTGTACACCATATCCGGATTTCGACAATTAATGTCTCTTCAGTGATATTAGGGATCGAAACGGTATTTGGAAGGCCATATAATTTACCTCAATTTAGGATAGACTCTTGAATTTTAAAGAGTCGAAATAGGATGAACGGATCATATAAACCCGAAGGCAAAATATAATACAAGCCCAAAACCAAAAATTATAAACAAGTCTAAATTGAAAACAACGTTCAAACTTATGATTGCGTTGGATAAAAACCGCAATTTTTATACGTGAGCATGTAAAACAAATTTCTTGGTAGAGGGGTCTAAATACAGCACAAACAACATTTTCCAAAAGACCAAAAAGTGAAAAGTATATTTTAACAAAACGCATTTGACTAACAGGTCGAACAACTGATGTTCTTAAACCCTGCTGACTGCCATTGGCGATTGCCAAATAAATTGATCACCAGATGTAACATGGATCTTAATTATTAATTTAATACCAAACAGAAAACGATAAACTTGCGGAAAAGTTGGTATATCGCAAACATGAGGTGCAAAAATTTGTACACCATATCCGGATTTCGACACTTATTGTCTCTTCAGTGATGTTAGGAATCGAAACGGTATTCGAAGGCCATATAATTTACCTCAATTTAGGATAGACTCTTGAATTTTAAAGAGTCGAAATAGGATGAACGGATCATATAAACCCGAAGGAAAATATAATACAAGCCCAAACGAAAAAAAATAAGCAAGTCTAAATTGAAAACAACGTTCAAACCTATGATTGCGTTGGATAAAAACCGCAATTTTTATACGTGAGCATGTAAAACAAATTTCTTGGTAGAGGGGTTTAAATACAGCACAAACAACATTTTCCAAAAGACCAAAAAGTGAAAAGTATATTTTAACAAAACGCATTTGACTAACATTTATATATAATTCGTCTAAATAACAGCCCAACAATGTTATATCTGCAAGTTTGCGGAAGCAAGTTTTTGTTCTTCCCTGGCAGGGATTCGAACTCATGCTACTGAGACAGCGTGGCACCAAAACGCCTTGCACTATGCCCGACGCGCTAGACCACTCGACCACCTAGGCTCGATAAAAATCAAGCTTTCGGTGGCCGGGCGTGACCTGTCCACGTCAGTGTTTATCTAGCGTCGTAACACAGTACATGATATAATAGGATGAACGGATCATATAAACCCGAAGGAAAATATAATGTACAGCAAACTTAAATATAAATAAGGAAACAAAAGCAATAATTATAATAAATGACAACGCTATGAAATCAGGTAGTTAGTTTTCTCGTATGAGTTGTTTAACGTTGTCATTTCAGCCTTTTATGTGTGTTAAATGCAGAAATTACACGTCACATCGAAACAGTTCATAAATGAATATGCGTTTGAGTCCTTAAACTAATTCTAAAGATATGAAAAGATTTACAGACACTGAGTGATTTTCTTTGGAGTTGAGACGATAACTCACTATTTATTTAAAACTTATGGTCAATGAAATAAAACAAATTGAAGTTTGATATATTCCTCGATGTTTGGAATTAAAAACTATCACAAATTACTACCGGTATGTGGTTTGCGAGGATAGATTAGCAATTGTTCAAAAGCTTAAAATAACAGGAAGATGAGTATTATCTATTCATGATTCTTTTATGAAATTAGAGATGCGTATGTTAATTTTCTTTAGAAAAATGTGTGAGTTTTCCAAAGGGCTCGTGTGTCGACTTCCCTCTCCAAAACATATAGTTATAAATGGCAAAGTGAATTCTTTGTATTCGGTATGTGAAACAACCCATCCCCCTCAAAATAAAATCAGATTAAAAGTTGAAGCAGCTGGGGCACAACTTCATGTCCTACCTAAAGAAGAATCAGTGCAAGTTTTTGGGAATTTCGTCAATTTGTTTTCAAGGAGTCGAGCCAATATGTAGTCATAAGCGAATTTAGAGGGTCTAGTTGACATAGGTCTAGAGCGTGTTTTGCGACAACTGAGTAAAAAATTATTTTTCTTAAAATCAATATCCGTTTAAAACGAAATGTTTGAGCAAACTGATTCAAGTATAAAGTTGAGGTTTCAAATTGTTTCTACTCTTAAAGTCTGTTTTGCGTTTGTTGCCTGGGGTATAAATAAATTGAGATCAAGCATATCTCGAATATGACAAGCCAATGACCAAACCATATTAACCAGTGTAATTGATTTTCCAAAACGGTCTTAGTTCGGAAAAATCAATTAACAAATACGAATATAGCTTAGGGTTTTGAACTATT